TTTGATACTCGGCTCTTACTTAGAAACTAAATGACGTATGTGTAACAAGAATAACTTTTAAAGGCTGGTGAATCGGATGGGATTTCCAAGGTGCTACTTATAGTTAGTAACATTTTCGTTAAAACTTTCGCTACAAGTACCTATTTGTTTTAACGATAACGAAAAATAAACATTTTTGAAGGGGGGAAATTATCAAATTTTTTCTATAAAAGGAGTAATAGACTGTAACTGACTAAAAACCACCACGTTCCTTCTGCTGCTGCAGGCCGATGCTTCGATAACTTATTACGCTTGCCCCAGCTGAACATCGGTCCAGCTGCACGCTCAGATCTGGTTCTCGTCAGACGGCGAGCTACCCTTGGTATCCTTCCGCAGACCCATGCACCACTCACGCGGTGGCCGGAAATCGTCACGCGATTAGGAAACCTGGACTTATAAGTCCTTATAAGGCCTTTGCTCAGCATATGCTGCTGACGACGAAATATAATGCTGATGACGAAAGCTGATGATGATGACGAAAGCTGATGACGAAATATCTTTTATATCGTAGAAGAATTGGCTAAAGTTACCGTTATATTAATAAGAAATGTTATTTTTAATAAGAAATGTGTCCGAATCGTGGCATTTGGTATACAAAAGTCTCCGCTTACCAATAATAACAGGCGTCACAATTGTATGTATGAATCTTTTATCGTAGTGTTTAGATTTACGTACCAAGTTCATAAAACAGATTTTTTGGTATAAGGGCAAATGTTCCGGAGGACATGTATGCCATGCCAAACTTTCGGGATCTCCATGTCATCTATGCTAATATTACAAAGAGGTAAAATTTGTAAGGTTGTATGTAGGGGGTAATATTTGGAACCGCTGGTTGGATTTCCAAAATTCTTTCACTGATAGATAGCTACAAGGTTCCTGAGTGCTATAGGCTATAAAACATCACGCTACGATCAAATGGAGCTGAGCAGCGGGTGAAACCGCACGAGAGTAGCTAGTTGCTTTATATTTCAGCGAAATAGACAACATATCCTTATTATCAATCACACCTCTTTCTCGACCCGCCTAAGTCATTCCTATTTGTTATTATAAAAAAAACATTTTTATTATGAATTAAGAGTTCAATGAACTGTTGCTACAACGCCTTATCATGAACAAAGACCTTCAGAGTTCGTATATCTTAGCAATCGCAGAACAATAATATCGCAATATAACAACTATGTTTTACATAATAATTGATACAGGCTTTAAAAGGGCAACTATTGTTATCGATAACTAGTCATACATATACATAGATGGATCGACATTATATGTATAGAGAGGGTTAGGCCTCCGAGAACCTCACACGCTGAAACACATTGCAAGAGAAACGGGAATCAGAATCTACGCTTTGGAACGAGCAATTAGCTTCACTAAGAAGACTGACCGACAGATTGTCAATTTTCATCTTTAAGTTTTGTTTCATGTTCAAGAGTGCCTGTAAGGGTCTAATTGATATAAATGATGTTGACTTTGACCTTGAGACGCAGTTGCTTCACGCCGGCTTTTTATGTGGCCGTGGTATCACTTAGTTCGAGGCGTAAAAACTATGATATCAATTTATTGGCAGTTTTAAACACAACATGGAAGCACAGAGGAAATAAATCAAAGAGAATATAACCAGTGGTTATATTGTCATTGGAATAAATACACAATGTATTCAATTCAACGTATTCTCTCGCTCCGTAGTTGCAGCGGTTGCATATAAAATGAGGTCCAATGACAATCATTGTGAACTATTGTAAATTTTAAGTGACTGTAGCTCAGGTAGGAGCCTATATGTATATTAAACACCCATAAAAGCTGCAACTTCTGTAAGCCAGGAGCTTCAGTAGAAACAACCATGAAAACACCGGGACACTGAAGTCCGGCTCGTTCCAGGGACGTGAATCCCACAACGAAATACTTATAGTAATAAACTTCGGGATTACCAAGGGCCAGGATTCAAGTGAATTAATGTTTGCGGGCGCAAGCAATAATTTCGTGAATTTAACGCAGGCTCGGCTTAAAGCAAGAGAAAGAACCGGATACTTTCTGTCAGTAAGAGTCTGACACTACTCAAAAAAGAAACTCAAGTACTATTAAATTATTATTTTTTGTAAGGGGAAAATCATCAAATGACTTCTCCCTGGTTGGGCGGGAGGGAGTTACAATTTTTGTCTGTCTGTCTATCTGTTTGTTTCCGTGGTTTGTTCCGGCTAATTTTTGGAATAGCTGGTCAAATTTTGATCGATATTTTATTGGTACCTAGCTGCTGGAATAAGGAGTCAGTATAAGTTAAGTAATAGTTATAATAAGTTAAGTAATAAATAAGTAATATTTAAGTTTTACTTAAATATTGTTAGGTGTTGCTTTCATATTATGCATACTATGCGTTATATGCGTAAAAACATTGACATTGTTAACTACTACAACATAAAAAAATGGACCAACTTTGTGAGCGAAATCGTGCAATAATGCTAGTGAACTTGGATAAACTAAACCTTTATTTCATAAGCATTTAGATTCAATTTCGAACAGCAGCTGTAAACTAGGCTAGTAGCTGTAGTAGGTAATAACATCCTTGACATATTCGATGGCCAAGGTAAAAGATTCAATTGATTTACCAATTCTAGTTTTATTTTGAGGACTCAATTAGGTAAGTAAATATTATTAATTAAGTACTAGCTTTTGCCCGCGACTTCGTTCGCGTGGAATAGTAACTTCCTGAAGATTATGGGTGTAAAAACTATCCTATGTCCTTTCTCGAGTTCCGAACTATGTCTGTACCAAATTTCACAGAATTCTGTTCAGTAGTTTAGGCGTGAAGAAAAAACAGACAGACAGAGTTACTTTCGAATTTATAATATTAGTTTGGATTTTTTTTAGTTATTAATGTCGAGAGGTCGCAAGTACATCTGCCGTTGTAGTCTTAATCTTGGCTTCAATTATGAGTTGTCCCAATAACATATTATTAAGTTTTAGACTTTCGGAATGATATTCAGCAATCGCACAGTGCCCGGTTGGCTCCCATTCAACTATATTTTTTTTTAAATGACCAATATGAGTATCTAATCTGGTTAATTAATTTGATATTATGTGCACCTCTCTCGACCTAACCAGACTACTACAGAGAAAAAGTTGTTGATGATACAATCAAAAAGGCTCGACGCGAAGTTTGCAACGTCGTCACATGTTGCGAATTGCTGCTCATGATCATAAGCTCCCAGTGTGGCTCGAAACTAGACGGGTTATCAAAACAAATAGTTACGCGATTAATCAAATAAAAGATGAAGATTTGCAGATTTAATTACATTACTAGCTTGCATTGCAAAGAATAAATGAAGAACTATTGTTTTTTTTATTTATCTTTATTAGTGACAATAGGTTTGATATAGACTTAGATTAAGATGATAAATAAATGATAAGTCTATTTTAGATAAGCATACTATATACTAACTGAGATTGAACTTTCTCTTGCTTTCACAGACTATTGAACCAAGGAATTCTCTATAAAGAGGATGGTAGTCTTTAGGTAGAAGTTAATTTAAGGTAACGCCAGTTATTAGTTTATATCAGCTAGGGTTGTGGGTCAAGCGCAATAATGCACCGCGGCTTCGGCTGTAGGACGAGAATAGGAACGGGTGACCATAGTCTTACGTGAGTAAGAGTGGAGATTATCTCGAGGATTTTTTTTCTGGAGTATGTCGGCAAATGAGCAGACTTATTGCCAGATGGTAAGCAATCGGCGCCTCCCTTGAGCATCCTCAACACCAAAGGAGTTATGAGTGTGTTGCCGGCCTTTGAGGATAAGGATTTCGGATAATTATTATTTTAAGGATCGGGAAGGGATGGGGGTGTGGAGGGATGGGGCCTCAAAGACAAATTAATTATTATTAATTATTTATATTTAAATATTATTGACTCATATGTGTATTATGTTTATGTTTGAACTTAATTGTTTATTAAGCAATTATTTTTTGGTTTTCATATCTATGTACTCTATGGTTTTCCTTGTGCATGAATGTGCGTTAAACTGGTTCAATTACTAAATATTATAGTATAATACTTTTGTGTATTTGTTTCTTATTATTAAACCAGGTTTTCCTTATTTCACTAATGTCAACTTAACAGTTCTGCATATGAATGTAATGTAAAGTTCAAATTGTATAAGTTTATACTTATTTTTACAACAGGACATGGACAAGTTAAGGAAAAAATGTGTTGGTACAAGGTATGTGTGCATGGTTTTCTGTACTTACAGTTTAAATACTAGTAACTCATAGGTAGGTATTAAAAAAATACTGAATCCCTGCTTCAAAGAAATAAAATTTAAAAAGTAAGATGTTCTTTTGTAATAATTAAGTGTCTTCATCTTAATATTTATTTAAAAAAGTTGTTTAATGTTTAATAGTTATACTGGATCAGTTTGAAAAGCTTACTTTTAGATAATGTTTGTCTCGATATTCCTCCACAGCCAAGACCTACCTCAAGATATTTTTTCTTAATCTTTTTACTGTGATAATTAAATACACAAGGGTATAAGACAAGGCACATTCCCTTTGGGGTTTCATTAATCAATTCAAGATAGAAAAAGTATAAGGTGGCCTTTCTTATTGTGCAGCACTAATAGTTAACATTTTGAAATCTATGTGAAAAGTAGATATGTTTCTTAACATAATTCGCTTTATTATTACATGTGTGAGAGTGTCAAATGAAGAAACTTTGTAAGTATGATGCAATTATTTCCACACAACATAACTTTTGGTGAATTGACAAAATCCATATGAAAATTCAAATCGAAATAACTGCGTTTAAGGAATAAATAATGAATGCAAACACTAACTAAATGATATATAAACAGGAGTTTTATGTAAATGTTATGAAAAATAGAAAGAGGATTGTTTCGTAAAGGATGGAATTTTTTATCTCTACATACTTATAAAGTCGATAAAGTACAAGGTCACTATAAAAATGCCACTCACCGATTATATCGTATATGCTCGCCGTATAATTGTCCATAAAATATGAAATAAAACCCATCTTTAAAAACAGCTGATCACAGGCTATGTAAACACGAAACTATCACGTACACCGAAGTTAAACTTGACATGAAAATAATACTGGTTCAATTACGAAACACTCTATGCACCATCAATTATTGAATTATGCTTTGTTTTGCTTTATTTTTTCAATGAATCGTCAGCGATTCGCAAAATCGCGTTTTACAGTTTGACAGATTCAAATTGACACTTGCGAGAAACGGGTATTGACAATTGAGGTGCCGTTCGAAAACATATTTTATTTTATTTATATTTAGATATTTGATATTTTTAATTTTATTAATTAAACTACAACATTTTCAGCCAATTTATTGTAAATCGATGCAATAAACTAATATCTTACAGTAAATTTACAAATAAAATAAAGTACATATACGGTATTTGACCAACATACAGCGTCGCAGAAAAAATAAATCGAATGACAGAATTAATTGAAATTGACAGTCAGCGAGTATTTGATCTGAAGTTTTGAACATTGAAATAAATAAAAACAATTTCGGAAAATTATCGAATATGTTATAATTTTTCAGTACAATTATTTTTTAAGTATTTAGCCATTAACCATGAATGACAAAATTTATGAAAAAATGATGCTTCGCCGACGATTTTTCAAACGAGCCTCTTTGATGGTGATCGCTTTTACAATTTCTTTTTATGTGTCGGTTCTTCTGTTTGGTGACCTGAAAGCTCCTCGAGTGATGCAACTGACGGACTTAGGTCGTTGTCCGGCTTGCTACGGAGTGTCTGTATGTCCAGAGCTGTACTCCAACCAAATAATAATGGAATCACATAAATGGTCGAGCATGTTTAATACGAAGAACATTTATTACGGCTACACCAGGTCGAATAGGCGGGTTATTTTGAAGAAACTGGCCCATAATTCCGAGCTGAGGAACTTTGATAACAATTTATGTAAGACCTTCAACTTGAAAAGAAACTGCAAGCCAATACATTTGCTGAATGCCTCTAACATTGATAACAAGTTAATCAAACTTGTGGAGTACAACCTATCAGTACCAGATTCAAGGCCAAGAAAGGGGCTTGTAATGTGTCCATATGCTCACAGTGTGTATGACTTCATAACACCTGTGCTGAGTAGCAAAAAAGAACAGGTAGATATTGTCAACATCTGGACTATGCTAAGTATTAACCCAGAACCTATTGTATTGCAGGTAAATAAAGTTTAAATTTCAATTAATCTAATAATAGTACTCCAAAAGCTTTATTATGATTTTTTTTTCAGGTGTTGCAAAAGTCTAGTGGATGGCCAGTACCAGCTTATGCAGGTGTTTGTGGTCGTGTAGAGGTAGTAGCATATGAGGGTGAACCTCTTTCGTCATTAACTCATATATCCTGGTACCGGAAACTGAAGTTTGCTAAGAAAATCCTGGATGCTGCCATGGATTTCACATTTAAACATGATAGGTTTGTTAAGTATTAGATAAATAATCTGTTTTATTATTGTAAGGCTTCAGCTTGCAACCAGTGTAATGCAATTTGTTGAGGGTAGGTATAGAATTGATTCCTTTAGTAAAGGGCATGGAATATGGCCTCTTTATCAAATAACATTATTACACATATAACATAATTATACACATTTTAAGCCTGATACTTTTTTTAATATTTTTAACTAAATAAAATATCATTCATTACAGATTCCGTTTCTACCTCATGGATTGGTCTGTGGACAACATAGTGGCCAACGAAAAAGACGACATTACCTTTGTAGATCTTGAGGACATTATCATTTTGGACAAGCATATAGCACCAAAGCAAGACTTACCAGATTGGTATCAACGATACAGCAGAGAGATCACGGGAACAGGATTCTCATTCTCCATTGACAATATGTGCAAACACCATCTTAGTGACCATAATATTTGGGCAGCCTGTTACATCTTAGCTGGAGATGAAGATCCTTACCTAAGCCCTATACCAGAAGAGGTTCAGACTACAAAACCTCATTTAGAGAGGTTGCTAAAGGAGTGCCTAGATGGTGAAGACAGATTTAGAACAATTACAAACTTACAGCATGTGCTTGGTGACATGCTTACGGATGAGAACATTGTAGGCTATAGTGCAGTTATTAGGTGATAAATTAACTTAGAATGATGGCGCTAGTGTGCTTTTTGGATTCGTAATGTGAAGTTCTGTAGGTGTTGATTTAAAAGTAATGTTTGATAAATTATGCTCATAGCTTAGCTTATTTTTGCTTGTAATATTTTGATCTAAGTTTATGATGTAATTTACCTTTGCAGGACTCTAAAAAATGAGCTTTATCCATGTTGTTCAATACTTATGATAAATTAAATATTTAATTGTATAATGTTTGTAATAGTCTTCTAACTAAAAATAACCAAATAGCCAAAAATCCTTTATAAAAATCTCATGTATTTGTTTAGGTATATTGTAATGTGAAATCTGTGATATACCTCCAAGATTTATTTGTTTTTATGACAATTAAATTGGTTGTGAAATATATTTTATTTTAAATAATTTTATTGATACATAAAGTATTGAGATTTTGTAAATTGTTTCATTTCTTTCCTCTCTAAATATAAATTAGCCTAATAGAAAGAAAATATATTACTGAGTTGGGTCGCACCGCATGACCGCACCAAAACCTTATCGGTAACATTTAATTTTGTTGTGTCGAATTCTAAGCTATGAAAGCATGGTGTTCTTTGGGTTGGGGCAACACGACACACAAGTGTGTCTCTTACCTACGTGAGTATGTATCTGTATATTTTGTAATATCGTGTGCTTTTATTTCTTTCTGTTATTTTTTATGATTACTTTAGGCTAGATTCTATCCCGTAAAGGATCCCTTATTGAATACAAGCAGCAAGTTGCAAATTTGTTTTATTAGCAACACTGATTTAGCTGGTTGACAGTTGAAATGCTGACTGACACTGATAAATGTCAAACAAATTGTACATTGTGCGATGAAAAGAAAGACAAAGAAATGTGTTTCTGCAAGGTATAAATTCCACGAACTACACATTTTGAAATACCTACCATCAGAGTCAGCAAAATAAAAGAAATGAGCGATTCGGACGACGATAACTTCGTACGATACGGGACAGCTTTAGATCCTATCGAAGAAGGTGAGTTTATTATTTATCTTTACTTTTTAATTTCTTTTTAACGTTATTTGTGTGGGAAAACGTTAAATTTTGTTATAACAAGATATTTTTAAACTTATTCTAAAATAAAACACGTTTGCCTTTGCGATAGGTTTCATTTATAATCAATCTATAAAACTACTTGTAAGTGCACTAAACTAATGTCATACAATACGTTAAAATTACGCTTTGTATCGGCTAGGTAGGTAATCCTTATATAGATAATCCTTATAACTCGCATACTGAGAGGTTATGTGAACTATCCTTTTTAATCGACTTTTAAAAGGTGCAGATTTACCCTCTTAGGCCTACCTACCTGTAGGCCTAAGAGGGATAGAACTATAAAAGGTGTATAGCTCCATCCCTGTTTCTCCCGAAAGATTCACGCTTTAACATGTCATAGTAGGCCCTCTGGTATTATTAATGTAATTCCCATTTTCTGTCATAATATTTTATGTTATCCTACTGGCTACTATCTAAAGGTTGTCCATAAGAAATTGGATTATGTGATCAAACTACCTATAGCATATGTTGCAGCCAAAAAAGCAATAAGCAACACAAATGAGGAGCTAGTTTGTTAAAAAGAATTAATATCATGCACAAAAATTTTGGAACTCTTAAGTTTTTGTGCAATTTGCAGTTGTAACATAAACAATGCTATGCCCACTTACCAGGAGTCCATAAGAAGCTAAAGAAAAAATATTCTTTAAAAAACATAACCTGTCCTACCATTTGGGTAGCAACAAACTTCTCATGACAATCCCTTTAATCTTTAGCTTAGAGACTGAATAATATGTAATTTAGGTATTCAATGAAAAAGAGTGTCATTTACGCTGTTTCTTTAATGAAAATTTACACTAGTTGACTGAAAAATACATCATATGTCCTAATAAAATAAAAATTGATTTTTGTTAGAAGTTGCATATTACTTTAAATAAAATTAATAAAAGAAATCTATATGTATAAAATAAACTTGTGTTAGTTACTCACTCCACTTAGGAAAGATAGGATAGGAGGATAGGATAGAGTAGGTAGTATAGGTTAGGTAGAATAGGGTAGGTAGAGTAGGGTAGGTAGTATAGGATAGGTAGAGTAGGGTAGGTAGAATAGTGTAGGTAAAGTAAGGTAGGTAGAGTATGGTAGATAGCATAGGGTACATTGAGTAGGGTAGGTAATCATATGATGGGAGTGACGCTGCGGGTAAGAGGTACTTTAATAAAATAATAATAACAATATTCTATTTCTTCTAACAATAGGTAGGCAGGGGTTGGCCAATTAAATATTCCTCTAAAATAACACTTGCTTTAGATAAATTACAATCAATATTATAAATTATAATTAAAATAAATATTAATTATAAAATAAATATCTATAATATAAAAATGAATCGTGAAATGTGTTGGTAAGCGCATAACTCAATAACGCCTGGACCAATTTTGCTAATTCTTTTTTTGTTGTATTCATTATTGTTAGGAGAAGGTTCTTACGATAGAAAACTTTATAAAAGTTAGGGGAATATCGGGAATTAACAACCCTTTCGGTGCCGAAACCGTTCGCTTGCAACACAAATGACAGACACCGGGGTAGTGGTATGCCCATGCCAAGCAAGGGCGATCCGCTAGTTATAAAATAAAATAATAAATAAAAGCAACATTTTGGCATTTTTTGCAAACATGAACAAATATTTAGTTTATGAATTATTATACAACCTAAAAATAAATAAAACCGCTTATATTTTTTTATTACGAAAATTTGTGTAATATGCAGAAAGACAGCTGGTATACTGAAGAATTTTTTTGACTCCCAGATTTCGGCGGTACCATGTCGGCCCTTGGAAGTTCTCACAAAAAGAAATATATTAAACTTCGCAGAGCTAATGTTGAACACCAAAGAGCCTTGACCTTATGTCGATTGCCCTGGAATGATATACGTGCTAAAATTCCCGGATTGGATTGTTATGGAAAAAATTCTAAGACGGTAGTACATATACCACCTCCTCCAATCAAGAAGAATAAAAAGAAAAAATCAAAAGCTCAAAAACAGCAGAACTATCGAAACGCTCAAGTTCAACCTCAAGTTCAGACTCAGAAGCCTAAGAACACGGTCTGCATAAGGGCGGAAGAGCAGGGAGTAAGATGGAATTCACATGATATATGCACAAATTGGCAGACTACATCAAATGATCCAAGATGTCTTCCAGAAAATTATGTATCAAATTACAGTTCTAATGAATTTTATACAAATCAGGGAATAATAGAAAGAGATAGTTCTCACCAGAATTATTGGGACACAGCTGGTACTTCCCAAGCGAGGAAACGGCGTATAGATGATATGGAATCTATTAGTAATAGTTCCCAGCCACCTCGTAAAGTAGCAAGAGACTTCTTTGTAGACACAAATTATGCAAGAGTCACCCAGAGCGATCGACAATACCCAATGGAGATAGAACACAGTCCCGTGTATTCAACCAGAAGTAACACGGAGACACAGGCATTTATGCCCATTCAGACTGAGCCGAGAGCAGCAAAACGGCCTTATTACGATAATAATGAAAGATACCAATACCACCAACTTTATGATCCAGAGAATCCTTCTTTGAACACTTTACGGAATATAGAGCCTCGTCCCCAATTGGATCTACGTCATCAATTGGAGCCTCGTCCTCAATTGGATCTACATCCTCAATTGGATCTTCGTCCTGAACTGGATCTTCGAGACCAAATGAATCTTAAAAGGCATGCTAACCGTCAAAATTATCATGATGATCAAAATCTGCCAAATCCTTCTCGCGACAATTATTCGTACCGTGGAAGCGCGAATTCAGACTGTCGTTCTCTGCCGGGTGTTAATACTCCACGAGTTATATCGTTAGATTCCGACGACGATTTTGATGCAAGGTGCTCTAGAGAGATGTCTTATGAACCACATACCCCAGTAGATAGTGATAATCACTCGGACTTTAATGAAAATTCTAATGATAGAGTTGTTAAAACACAAAAAAATACTATAAAAACCGATAGTCAAGAAAATTCGCAATCAATTCGTGTTGGCATTCAAAACGTCACTCCAATGACCAAAAAACAAATGAGCTCAGTACATCAAGCTATTAATAAAGAAATCGTGAAGATTGGCAAGCAAGGCAAAGGGCCTAAGTTCTTAGGAAGTGCGTACAAATCAGGTTGGATCCTCATGATATGCGAAGATCAGAAGACTCGAAAATGGCTTGAGAAAATCGTGTCGCAACTCAAGCCGTGGCCTCAAGCAAATCTCTCAATAATGTCTAACAATGCATTCCCCAAGGCTGTTGTCTTGTCAATATTAATACCGAGCAAAGAGGGCGTCTCTATTCCAATGGCTTTGGAATTAATTCGTGTCCAAAATCCTGGCCTTCATACAGAGCATTGGAAGGTGTTTAAAATTTTAAAAGTAAGTGATGGCGACATTGTACATCTTTCAGTAGATAATACATCGTACGAAACTCTGAAACGTGTTGATTTTAAAGTGAATTTAGGAATAGATAAGCTTACTTTTTGGCCCAAAGGTAGAAAATCTTATCCGACATTCAATAAAAAGTCAAAAAGAAATATATCACCAATACATTTTGTAAAGGAGTCAAATGAAACTCGTGAAACATCCCCAGTTGGCTTCGAGGAGCCAAGAACACCTTCAAGAGAACCTTCTCCAGTGGGAAATACTTCAGTGAAATCTTCAAAAAAAAGTCGCAAGCGTTATAGGAAACGTCTTCAGAAAATGAACCAACTACCCACGATACAAGAAAACCCACCGAGCCAAAATTGGTATCCTAATCTCGATGCTTCGTATGCTTCATCGGAATGGGTGCCATATTAATTAGTAAGCCACGTACATTCTTATACTACCGTTCCAAATTCGATCGCCAATAAATAGTTTTGTATGTACTACTACAAAAGTGCTTGATGCGCGTTACATGTGTATATTTGATATAAAACAATATCCTATAAAAGCAATGCAATTTGTGATACTTGACTAATTTTTGCACAAACCAATTTTACAGAAGTATTTTTATTTTATGCATTTTTGTTAATTATGGCCTATTTGCAGTATTAAATGGATTCAAGGCCGTTTTGACCACATGCCGAAACAAATTTCTGCAGTCATATTTTGAAATTGTGATAATTGAGATATTTTATCGAGTTTAATTTAACAACAACTAAATCAGAAGTGTTGAAAAATTACTTTAAAAAGTCTCAAATTTTATTGTTTTATTAATACATTGATAGTTTCATGTTAAACCTTTCATGGGACATAATACATTGATTATGTTCACTTAACTCGATAAGTTTCAAGCCACGCCAGGGGCTCGTATTTATAAGCAGTATTGCGCGACGCACGATGTGGCGAATCCATGACACTGTCGTAGGGGATTTTGTACTTGATAAAGTAAGGTGCCTCTCATAGGATATTTTAAGTTACTGTCTTATTTCAAGACATGTGTTAGCGTGAAGTTGTGAATTCTTCTTAAGACTTGGTGACATAAACATGAAAAATTACAAAATAAAACCGCATTGAGATTGATTTTTGCAGTATATTGAAGTGTCTGTCAAAAGCCAAGAGCCAAGACCAATCCAGACTTATTTATTAATTTTCAACCATTAGACATTATACTTTGCAAATCAGTGTATCAGTGTACAAATAATTTCCCTAATGCAATAGAAACTTAAATGTATTGTTGTGCATATACCTGCATATACACAACTCCACATGAGTGGGTATTCCTCCTGGAGAGGAAGACTTGGTTTATTTTGGTTATTCTTTTTCTTATAATATAAAAATGAATTCGTATTCTTGGCGGTTGCTAAAATTTTAAAACGGCTAGGCCGACTCAGTTGATATAAGTTTTGAATTATTTGTAAATGTTAAATGAGAAAAATGCTAAAATTACGCGTTGAGAACTGAAAATAATAATTTCGTTTCCCATACAAACTGGCTTGTGAATGACTAGAAGTTAGAGATTATTAAATTTGTCAAGAAACTAAATTGGCGCCAGGTCAGCTAGCACGCTATATTTATTAAGTACTTGAGCTAACGAAAAAAATTGTTTATGCATGTTAATTTTAATTTTAGAATAAGTCCAAAGATTAGTTCAGAATTCATTGGGGACTAAGTACCGTTTTTTTTTTGCTCATCAGATGCTACCAGTCTTAACCGAGTTAACTTTGACCAATCGCATTAGCTGCTAAGAATTAAATGTCGAATTGTGACAATTGCTAATTCTGTATTGGCCGATAGGACAAAGGCTTTTTTATGTAATAAGGGCAGCAAGGGACTTACGATTGCGTTGCCGACCTTTTGGGGATTAGGTATTTGAAGATTTTGGGATTGGGGAGGGATTTGGAGAGGGGAAGGGTTTGGCCTCCGGTAACCTCACTCGAAACAACGCTGTGGTTGTTGTGCACTACGCCGGTTTTCTGTGAGGCCGTGATATTACTCCGGTCGAGCCGACCCATTCGTGCCGAAGCATGGGTCCACCCACACTTAGGTAATAGTGGTTAATTAATGCATAAACCTTGTCCGTGTGAGAAGAGGCCTTTACTCAGCAGTAAGTGCTTATAAGAACTGTGGTGAAACTAGAGGTTCATACTAGCCAACTGGTGTGCATGGCGGTAGCCAGTCCCCCATATAAAAAACTGCTGTAATCATGCAAAAAAAATGGGTATATTGTTGACAGTTCTCATAAACTTGCCATAGACCCTAAACATGTCCCAATGCATTCTGTGTTTACTGTGTCGCAGGAATAAAAATTTTGTTAATTTTAAATTAGGTTTTAAGGTTTTTTATGTACTCAGATAAGATTTTGTTACCTATTGGTTATTTTAACCGTAATTAGAGATAGTGACTTTTTACTGACTTCAATATAATGTTGGCATGATTGTTTTTTTTTAATGTTTTTTTTTAAACTTAGAATCTCTGATTGAGATCTTGTTCTGTTGAGAAATCTTCGTTTTGTTGGTTTGTTAGTCTTAAAATGTGATAGTTTTAATCCTTACCTATTTTTAAGTTACCCACCGTTGGTTGGCATTGGTTAGTCTGTATTTAAGTATTAATAAAGGTTTTACTTAACATAAAATTGTCGTTGTTATTTTTTTCCTGTATTAGACAAGTATCTTTTTTCACTAGAAACTAAGGCTTTGGTCCACGGGTATAAGCAGAAATTATTATAAATAAAATATACTACCAATAGTCCAGTAAGGAGTTAGTTTTAATTTAATTGCTTACCTATTGTAAATTTACTATGCTGGCAATACTACTGAATATTTTGATACACAGGTGACCATATTTTTTCATCTGTATATATAAAAATGAGAACCAGTTTCCATTGGATATTGCATCACGCGGCAACGGCTAGATAGATCTTGATATTTATTTTCATTCATATTAACTAAAACCAGGAGACAAGTTTCTATAAAAGAAATAAAAAAATATATAGCAAGCCGATGCCAAGGCGGTTCGCTAACAAAACAAATGACTTTCGACACTGAGGTAGTTAGATGCCTACACACCCGTGCTAAGTAAGGGCAGGCCACTAGTACATCTATACTAATATTTAGAGGTTTTTGTAACTTTGTATGTAGGGGCTAATCTTTGGAACCGCTGGTCGGATTCACAAAATTCTTTCACTGATAGATAGCTAGAATGTACCTGAGAGCTATAGGCTATAAAACATCACGCTACGATACGCTATGGAGCCGAGCAGCGGATGACACCGCGCGTATTTAATAAATCGTTTAAGCACAAAAAAACATAAATCGCAGTTAGAGGTAACCGGAGGCCAGACCCATCCCCCCCCCACCATACTTACATCAAATCCCCTACCCCTAATAACCCATAAGGGGCCGGCAACGCATATTATGTAGTATCTCCTTTGGTATTACGAGTATCCATAGGCGGCGCAGACTGCTTACTAGGTAATGCGAATGCGTATACCTATGACATAAAAAATAAAATACTACTAAGTTTATATCATGAACATACCTCCTGATAAAGCTACTAAGCCATGGGCCTCAACCTCCTGAAGATTTTATTCTTTAACTGTGGAAGAGCCATGCTTCGGCACGAATGGGCTGGCTCGACCTCCGAAACCGGTAAGGGTTATAGCATGGCCTTACAAAAATTGACGTGAAACAACCACAGCATTGTGTTTCGCCGTATATGTGAGCGGGGTTATCATAGGCCCAAAACCAATTCCTCCTCCCAAAAGACCACGCATTGTAACTCCTCCGGTCCTTGCCCACGCGGGGCGCTGATTGCTTACCATCAGGTAATCCGTCTGTCCGTTTGCCGCCGTCTCACACAAAAAAACCCCGTCATTTGACAGGCAGGATATAATCCATTGTCTATTTCTTTGTGAACAATCAGATGAAATTCCGTCGAAGCGAAAGTTCCAGCAGGCTCCAGATCAGTACGCAGTGGATGAGCATGGCAGGCGGCGGTTTCACGGCGCTTTTACTGGCGGATTCTCAGCAGGATTTGGCAATACTGTCGGATCTCAGGAAGGATGGAAACCTACGAGCTTTAAGAGCTCACGGTCGGAAAAGGCGGCGTTTTCTGTAAGTATTTTGATGTACATTTTGAGGGTTGGGTTTTGGAAAATACTTAGGATTATCGGGTTTATTAAATTTATATCTTAATCAGTTCGTTTCATTTCTGTTCTTCCTTGCAAGGAGACTTTTTTTAATACAAGTTTTGAAGTAAGCAGTACTGTTTAATGATATTTTGTTTAACATCAGTCAGTCAGGTCGAATCGTACTGACGTTTTACCTGATGGTAAGCAATCATCGTCATGGAGATCACCGAAACTGGAATTAATGCTTGCTTATTTCTTAAAAACATTATTATAGATATAAATCCCTAAACTTTATTATATTTCTTTTCAGAATCAACGTCCAGAGGATTTCATGGATGAGGAAGATCGCGGCGAGTTTGGCATAGCGCCGCGACAGGTGCAAACACAGAAGGAGTTCTCGGGGCAGAAGAGGCAACGTCGCACCCAGTACCATGATGGACCTATACCGGGTAAGACCTAGAATCTCCCTTGTCTAATCTCTAAAAGACTGGCAACGCACTTGCCCCTTGGAGTAGCTATGCAAGTATTCTTATAGAAAGGAAAAAAAATGTAACAAAATTCTTTTACATATACATACATATATCCTAAATATCTCAATGATCTCACAGTTAAAGCTGTATTTTTGAAGTATTTTTTGAAAAGAAATAAAAAGCAGGATTTATTCATTGATTCATAAACGAGTATAAAAAAAAATTTAATAATTTATACAGGGTGTAAAAAGACACTTAACGAAGCCGAAAGCCACGTATCTACCCATTATTTGGACCATTTTTTTCTTTAATACCATAGCTGGGACTCCACGGGTTCTCGAGATATTGAAGGTCAAAAATCCATTTTTATTTTTTATTTTTTTGCGCAATTGAATTCTAAGTATTATTACAAAACTTTTTTCCAAACAAACATTACCTGAATTACGCATTAGAAGTTACGAACGCAGACCCGCACAAAAAACATCGTGCATCTCAGTAGGATTTTTATTTTATAGAATTGTTTTGTTGTTGCGAAGTAAAACGTCGACCCACATACTTATCACAGCGTTTTAATGGTAAGCTGTGAACCTACGCACACAATGACACGAAGCCCGTTTGCTTTACATTGCGCGCAATAAAATTATTATTTTTTTTGATACCTAAAAATAAAAGTCGTTTCCCAGTGATAATTTTAGAGTAAAGCTACTTAGTTAGAACTGTAGGTATGCGTAGTTAACGGCTTCGTTAAGTGTCTTTTTACACCCTGTATATTACGAAAACACTTCCTCCAAAAAGCTGATTTGTAATATTTATCGCCTTGTACTGTACGAAAATTGTATGTCTAATTAAAGGAGAACCAGTACTGCAGCAGTTACTGCGACCCGTCCACGAGACGGCTGCAGTGCGCATGCTTCGAGCTATGGGCTGGAGAGAGGGCCAAGGTATGGGCGAACGACTCAGCTCGAAAGACAAGAAGAAGACAAAGGAACAACACAAAGTGTATGGGTGTTACATGCCGCCTGAGATGAGACAGGTATGTGCAATCACTTTGAGGAGTGACTTGAGAGGCGCCATGGCGTCGTCTCCTTCCGCCTGACGCAGGTGCTTACCGGGCATGGCAGTTTCGGCTGGTTTTTACTTCGAGACCTCCCAGAGGACACGGTGGAGCATACGGTGGCGGTGTGCCCTGCTTGAGCTGAGCACCGCTATGTCCTCCGGGCGTCGGGGATCGACCGATCGACTGGTCGAACGGCTAGCAAGGATAACTTGCCGCCCGACCAGAACCAGACCCCGAGTGTACGTTGCGTAGCGTTCCGCTCGCGCCTCAAAGAGCCAGTTTAGACTGTTACAGACGGGGTTCTACAGGACTGATGCTTAATGCAGGAGAAGGAACAGGGTGGTTTTTAGTCAGTAAGAGTTTGACACTCCTATTCGCCATACCCCAGTCGATTCGTATTTGGATGATTTTCCCAAAAAGACTTATAATATTAATGAGTGTTAAATGTAATAAACATTGAATAATAGAATAGTTATTTGTTTAAATACGTTTAAGTTCACCAATATATTATTTAATACTGATTATTTTATACATGCATACACCTATTTCAAGTAATGTAAAAGCTTGTAACTCTTTCCCTTTTACAGGCTGAAGAAGACCAAAGCATGGATGAAGATGCTAACAGCTCGGATTCCGAAGTGGATTTCGACACGCTGTTCGCGCCAGACGATTATGAACCTTATATTCTACAGCGTAAGAACGATCGCTTTGGACTCGGCTACTCTGGCTTGAGTAGACATTCCGTCCTTGGCAACTTGATTGGCGAGTATGGAAGTGAACCGGGATCTTCGAAAAGTCATTTAGTAATGAAGGATAAAGGGAAAAGGGTAAGAATGTTTTTTTAATGTGAATTATACTGAGTACTGTTACAATACCACACTGTTTCCGAAAGGCCGATCAATGTTAAAATCAATTTAATGTCTTGTCAAGTCATCTGATTGGTTGACTGAATTATCAACAACCAATCAGGTGACTTGACAAGAGATTTAACAGGAGATTAGGTTGTTTTAGCATTAACAAGCCTTTTAGAAACCGGGTGTAAGTGTACGTGTAAGTGAGCCGTCCTTCGGCACGAATGGGTCGGCTCGACCGGAGTGATACCACGGCCTCACAGAAAACCGGCATCAAACAACCGCAGCTTTGTGTTTCCAATCCATGAAGTCCAATCCTTCTCCCTCCCCCTATCTTCAATCCTTAAATCCCTAATAACCCACAAGGCCGTCAACGCACTTGAAACTCCTTTATTATAACGAGTGTCCATAGGCGGTACTGATTGTTTATCGATAAGTAATCCCAATGCTCGTTTGCAAAACTATCGAATAAAAAAAATATTGATGTCTCAGGTATCCATACGCGGCCAAGCGTTCGGTGTGGGCGCGTTCGAAGCGGACGATGAAGATATATACGCTAAAGAAGATATGTCACACTACGACTTCTCCTTAGACGTTCCAGAACACACGAAGAAGAATACCCCGGGTAAAGATAGCCAGAAGAATCGTAATGTAAGTCAATACACTTAATTTAGAGATGAATTTTCATTATAAGTTATTAAAAAATCGATTCTATGTGTTTGTACGTGGGTTTTAAAAGGCTATCGTTAGATGTAATATTAACTAAAATTCGCGGGTTACTCACGTGTGAATGTTGAGAAAAGCTCTACTAGTTTCGAACCACAGAGGGGTTCTTCCTCATGAGCAGCGTGCGCGGACGCGGCGACGTCGCGCACGCTGCTCATGAGCTTTTCTCAACATTCACACGTGAGTAACCCGCGAATTTTAGTTAATTTAGTATGTCTCACGATAGTTATTATAAAAGATGTAATATTATTATTATTTGTATGTCTTTACTAATCACGGGACCACGGGACTACTCCCGGTCATTTGGGAGGCGTGCATCGTCATCGTCATATGCACTATAGAAATGCACGCAAGGACAGTCACCGTTTAGTGTAGGTCTATTGCGGATAATGGAAGCAAAGGATAAGGCTATGTGTGTGGGTTGCTATGGACTAGTATGATGGGAACTATGGAAGGACTATGGCACCTGCCGAAACAATGTTATAACTACACGTAAAAATGGCAGGCGGAGACTCGCCAACTTATTATTATATATACAAATATTTTTAAGAGGTAAAATTTGTAAGTTTGTATGTAGGTCGAATTGTTAAAATTCGAGGAGAAAACACTAGATCGAGCTGCGATCTCCCATCACTATAAGCACGGATCTAAGGACGGCGAGTAAGGGTAGCTCACCGCCCGACCAGAATCAGACCCGGGCGTACAGCGCGTAGCGTTCCGCGCGTGCCTCAAAGAGCCAATAGACCACCACAGACGGGGCCCTATAGGGCTGATGTTCAGCTAGGGTTGCGGGGTAAGCGCAATGAGGCACCGCGACCTCGACCTAGAGCAGGAGAAGGAACAGGGGGGTTTTTTAGTCACACTGACACTCTCTCTTGCCTCACTCAGGCCGAGAAAATTAATTTGGTAATTGTCCCTAAAAACCGTTATATTATTATAATTCGCCTTAATATTTCGAAAGAGTTTGTCACAATGCCCATCAATGCTTGTTAGAGGTTCGCAACGGGTTCAAAATTAATACAGTAAGTAAATAACGTTTATATACCTCTTAGGTTCTTGAAGGGTTCGTGAAGTCAAGCAAGCCGTTGCCATCGGTACCTACATACCCACCGCCCGCGTTACCTCGCGACTATGTACCGGCCGCGGCCGGAGCGAGACGCTCCAGGTTCGAACCCACTTCTCAACAACCTAGGGATCAAGGTGAGCAAAATATCTTTTACATATACTAAATTTTCTAAATGTCAAATTTGGATATACCCACGTATCGGTCTTTCAAAAAAGTTGAAAATCCGCGCTATTTTTCCATGAATTACAGTTTCGTTGTTACTCGAAACTAGTAGAGCATTTCTCGAATAGTCTACATGAGTAAGTCGTATATTGAAACGATTTTGTGTGCCGCACGATAGTTTTAAATTACATAAATACGTCATATACCTACTCGTATCATACACGGATTTAGATGAAACTTGACACAGAAATAAATTTTATTCTGAAGCAACCGACATAGTCTAATCTTAATGCTGTTAAAAATCATCTTTTATTATTTCAGGTCTAGGTCGCCACGAATTATCAGCTAAAGCAAGAGGCGAATTACTAGGAGAAAAACCGCTACCCCCTCCCCCACCAGAAACCCCAAAAGACCAAAAAGACCTGACTGCAGTACTTGGAAAGACCATTAATTTCGTTTCAACAGTTGAAAATACCGAATTGGACTACATACCAATAAAGGACTCCGGTAAAGAAATCACAAAAGTATTCAAACCTTTTATAGGTAATCCTGAAAAACAAAAAAGATATGAAAAATATGTAGAAAATAAAGGTGTGTTGGAAAGGGATGGCGATATGGATAAGTTACAGGAGTGGGAAAGAGAGAGGGAATTGGTTGAATTTGAACAGGCCGCCAAGTTGTATAAGCCGTTAAGTGGGGTCATGGGAGATCGGTAAGTTTAAATTATTTTTAATCTTTAGGGCTGAGTTTTCAATGGTTAAATAAATGTTATCTGAGGAATAAAATAGATGCTGTCACTGTCTTATACAAACATTCTGATTATTCCCCAGATAACTTTTATCTAACCAATGAAAAACCAGCCCTTAGTTTTTAAGTTAATAAACTTACAACCGGTTTCCGAAAGGCCGATCAATGTTAAAATCAATTTAATCTCTCGTCAAGTCATCTGATTGGTTTTTGGACAGGAGATTAGTTAATTTTAGCTTTGACAAGCCATTCAGAAACTGGGCGTTATACAAACATTCTGATTATTCCCCAGATAACTTTTATCTAACCAATGAAAAACCAGCCCTTAGTTTTTAAGTTAATAAACTTACAACCGGTTTCCGAAAGGCCGATCAATGTTAAAATCAATTTAATCTCTCGTCAAGTCATCTGATTGGTTTTTGGACAGGAGATTAGTTAATTTTAGCTTTGACAAGCCATTCAGAAACTGGGCGTTATACAAACATTCTGATTATTCCCCAGATAACTTTTATCTAACCATTGAAAACTCAGCTCTTAGTTCTTAAGTTAATAAACTTAGTCCGTCCCTCATCATTAGATAATGATTATTTTTTATTGTCTATCGGGATTAGTCTTAAATTTATTTATCTGATTAACAGTAAACACAGGATTATCACTTAAAATAACAACCAAAAATCAACAAGGTTTAACTTTAAAATTTTGCTATCATGAATCTATCGAAGTTGCATAAAATGAGGTTGTACAATTAGACACCATATGTAGTGTAGATATGGAAGACAGAGGAGTTAGCGATAGCGTGACGAGTGACAGGACAGAATGGAAGAAAAAAACATATTGCGCCGACCCCAAATAAAACGGGACAAGGGCAGGAAGATGATGATGTAGTGTAGATATTTATGTGTGTAGCGCATACCTTTTAATACGGAATCAAATATTTTTTTATGTCATCATCGGTTGGCAAACGAGCAGACAGTTTACCTGGTGGTAAGCAATCGGTTGGCTCATTGACAGCAACAATATAGGAGTTATAAGTGCGTTGCCGATCTTTGGGGATTAGGATTCTAGAGATTTAGGGATTTGGAAGGGATGGGGGGAGGAGCACACGGCGAAACACAACGCTATGGTTGTTTCACGCTGGTTTTCTGTGAGACCGTGGTCGAGTCGAAAATCTTTTAAGTACTTAATTGTAAAAATTACAGATTCACTCACGCGTCTGAGCCGGACGATGCAGTTAATCCTTTGATGGCCGTCGCCAAAAGTACCAGTACGTACGGTCTGGCCACAAAGGAACAGATCGAGGCGGCGGAAAAAGGCGTGTATGGCATTATGACGCGCCAGACTACAACTTGGCGACCAGACCCGCTTGTTAGCAAGAGGTTCAATGTTCCTGAGATTGGGGGCGCTCGGTAAGTTGATATTTTTATAAAGTAGAGATAGGAGGGGGGAGGGGGGTAAACGTTTATGTTGGCGGGTTCGATTCCCTCATAGAACAACTCTGTGGGAGATTCGCATTTTGTTCTTCTCTGTCTGGGTGTGATGTGTAAGTGAAATTGTATGTTTGTAAACTCATCCACGACATAGGAGAAACCTCAGAGAGAGGAAAGGTTTTAAAAAAAGGAACGTTACCGCGTAAAGCTCTCTGATTGGTTGATTAACCAGGAGCAGGCCAATCAGAGCCCCGAACGCCATAAACTTGTCGATTGTACTAACCTAAAGCAAACTAGCATTAGGCGCTCTGATGGTAAGCAATCAGTGTAGATGGGTGCTCCGATATTCGCAACACCAGAAGACTTACACAATTATTCCACCATTACAAGTAGTGTGTTAAAAAGCAATAATTTGTATTTTTGTTTCAATTGCGAACAAAATGGAGTGTATATATAGGTAGGACTGGGTGCTTCGCAAATGGTTCGCGGTTTCAATACCCGCACGGAACAGCTCATTGTATCCACAAAATAAATTATTATTCCGGGTCTGGGTGTGGTGTGTATGAAAAATTGTATGTTTTAAGTGCACCCATCATACAGGGGAAAACCCTAATGACGGACAACATTTTACTTAAAGATAAGAAGATAAAACTTATTAATGTTTCTAATATTCACAGGCTCCAAGAGAAGAAAGAAGATAGACCGAAAGTATCTTATTCAATATTCTCATACTTGGAATCTTCAGTTCACGACAAGGATAGCTTCGCAGCGGAACAAAGCAAGTTCAGTGGATCCAAATCACTAACAACCAACATTGCAACGAAAACTGAGCAAAATACAAATCAGACTCAAAATAACACTCAAACACCTTCAAATAATGATTCCACAATCCAAAGTATTAATAATAATGCAAAAGCTACTACCACAGCTCCAGTATCAACCGAAAATACAGCAGGTTTCGCCAAAAGAATGACGGTAGCAGAACTTTTCTTGAAAGAATCAGAAAATACAAAAAAAGATGGCGCTGAAGTTACGGATGCTATTCAAAAATTCGACAGGATGGCACTGTACAAGTCCATTTTTCTAAGCGACAGTGAAGATGAGTTAGAGAATGAAAAAAGTAAAGAAAATGATGGAACGGACTTCTTAGATGTACCGAAAAACCTTGAGAGAAACACATCGCCTCCACGAGGCATCTTTGCTAATATAGACTTTGATGAAATCAATTCTTGGAGGAGAAAAGAACCAGAGAAGGTTCCTGAGGTATCCACTAAGAAGGATGAAAGTGTAAATGATGTTAATAAAAAGGTTGATAATCCATCCGAAGATAAAAATGATGATGACGCTATGTATGGTCCCAAAATTCCAGAAAATTTACAAAAACGTCTAACTTCAGATTTTAAAACTGATAATTTAAAAGAAACTATAGATGTAGACTCGTCATCAAGCGAAGATTCTTGGGTCGATATAAAAGAAGTTAAGAATAAAAAACAGAAAAAGAAAAAATCTAAAAAGCATAAATCTAAACATAAGAAAAAGTCTAAAAGTAAAAAGAAGGATAGATAAAGATTAGGTACTTGAATAAAATACTATGAAATACATGTTTTGTATTGAGACTGGATTTAAACTAGGAATGTTAAATAAAGATTGACATAACTGCCAGTTGCCATCGTATTAAACCAAACGAGCACAAATTCCATTAATTAAAATCCACTATTTAGAACATGGAGGTCAGAGACAAGGAGAGCGGTCGCTACGTGCGAAAGCATTAGGCCGCCTGTCTAAAAAAATTAAATTAATAATAGTAATAGTTCACTAGCTTCTGCCCGCGAATTTGTTCGCGTGGAATAGTGATTTCCTACAGATTTTTGTAATAAAAACTATCCTATATCCTTTCTCGAGTTCCAAACTATGTCTGTACCAAATTTCACAGAAATCGGTTCAGTAGTTTAGGCGTGAAGAGAAGACAGACAAACAGAGTTACTTTCGCATTTATAATATGAGTTTGAATTGTATTAGTTTGGATTTAGATTATTTAGCCACCAACCGCGCTGGCCGTCGGTATGTTGTCGCTGTGAAGTTAGCTGTACAATTTTCTTCGCGGCATTTGTTAGCGGACAACAATAACTACTGTTAACTACATTTTCTCAGTATTTCTGGGACACTATTTTCTACAGCGATCGCTCTTCTTCTTTCTAACCAGTGAAACAGAAACTAAATAATGTGAAATGTTTGTTCAAATAGCAGTTTTCAGTGATTTTAAACTGTCATTCAGAATCGATTAAAATGTTTACAAACATATATTTTTTTTACTTTACAAACATACAATGATATTATAATTGTAAAGGTAGATAGGTCATAAGCGCTCAGCAAGTGATATATTAAAATGTGTCTAACTCGCCACACTTTTTCATTTGTCGCCCTTTTTACTTGCGATTATTAATTCATGCCATCCCACTTTAAGATGTAACATAAAATTTATTCTTGTGTGCATTAGTGTGCCGTTATTGAAAATCGAATGTTATTTATGTAGCCTATCTACACCACTTTACATAATATCATTGCATACACCTAAGTATTAATCAAATAATCAAATATTAGATTAGAACCTTGTTTCCTATACCAGAATGTTCTAAAAAATTATTTTCCAATTAATTAAACATAAACACATTAGGTAGGTAACTGTTATTATTTACCCCAAAAGTTTTACCGTAGGAACATTTTTATGGCATAAACATAACTCCAAAGTTGATACAAATAAAACATTTTCTTGTGAAATAAAATGTAAAATGTAATTGCCGATATGTTGTTTTATTTCCTAGTAGATCTCGAATCATAGATAAGAGGTGTAGAATAAAAATTGTCTATACTCATTCAGAACACTTTTCTAAAGTTTCGAATTTGCAAGTTATTGGTCTGTATTGGAATTTGAACTTATCAACGGAAAGGCGCCCATTGCGACGAAGCGGTAAAGGCACTTCTTAAACTGGTTCAAGACCTGGCACGTAAGTATCAACCTGACCTTTTCCGAGTCATAATAAAATAATTATGTAAGTGTGTAGTTTCTGAACTACCTAGTCAGCAGACATACATCATTGACATGCGGCGAAGTAAAACATAGTACCTACCTTGAAATCTTGTTTTGGACAGGATAATATCGTTTAAAGAATTTTCCCGCTCTCGGTGGAGCGAGAGCTATTGCTCTCAGCAAAAAAAGAGCTCCAGGTAGGGCCGCGGTATTTCATTTCGCTTGCACCCGCAACATAGCTGATATCCGAGCATACGGCATGTAGCGTTTCGCGCACGCCTCAAAGAGAGACCACCACAGACGGGGCTCGAAGGGTCGATGTTCACCCAGGGTTGCGGGGCAAGCGCTATAAGGTACCGCGACCTTGGCCTGGTGCAATAGAAAGAAAAGTGCGGTTTTTAGTCAGTAAGAGTCTGACACTCCCTCTCGTTTCGACCTGGGCGAGAGTAGCCATTTGATGTTTGTTCCCTCCTCAAAAAAAAACCTGGATGCTACCTGAAAACCTGGATATAAAATTACTAATTACCTACTTAAAAATATGTCCAAAGCCTTTAATCCGTTTCGGGCGCGCGCTTCTTCACCGTGCCAGAAGAGGTATTTTTCTCAGTACTGAGCACATATAACATAGGCTGGTGATATCATATGTATGGTGTTATATTCACTCAAGCACTGTCCTGACTCTTAAACACTTCACAAGAGAAACCACGAGGTATTTATAAACCTATTCCCTTTTCAAAACAAATAACAGTCGATATCGATAACATCTAATTATAAACGTAGGTACGCCGTCAAACGCTACAATAGCTTGCCAATTTATTTTAAGAAGCATTTCACATCTTTAAGTGTACAAAAATAAACATACCTACCTACTTACCTACCTATATTACGTAGAATCACTTGTTTTGTTAAAAAAAAACTTCTTGGATTACATTTAAGTGTCGTGTGGTAAACGCTGAGAGGGTATATTTGCTTCCATATTATTCCATAAAAGGTTGATAAACTCGACCCTGTTTAGAGAATCCTCCTTTTGTATGAAATACTTACGTTATGTCGGCAAATGAGATGGATTACCTGATGGTAAGCAATCGGCGCCGCCCATGGACACACAACAACAGAATTACGAGTTAGGGTTTCGGATATTTAAGGGTGGGGAGAAGGGGAAGGTCTGAGCCTCCGGTAACCTCATTCACACGTCGAAAGACGACTATGTCGTTGTTTCAAGACGGTTTTATGTAAGGCCGTGGTATTACTCCGGTCGAGCCGACCCATTCATTTCCCCCACACTTGCTATCTCGAATCGTTTAGATTGTGACACATCCTCACTGCAAGGTGGCCCTTAGTTCATCGCTAAACAAAGGACCACCTCGCAGTCTGATATCTGTCAACTTGTTTTTCAGGGTAAAATCATCAAACGACTTTCTCTCGCCCAGAGTGAGGCGAGAATGAGGAGATCCCTTCCGCCCAGCCCTGGGCGAGGGAAGTCATTTAATGATTTTCCCACACAAAAAAAAACGCTTACTCGTCATCCGCAGATCCGCGCTTACGATGGCTGAAGATCGTCTCTCGATATCTGTCACCATAAGTTACATGCAGAATTGGCAATAATTATATTTTCCAAGAACAGAGCCTTATTTTCATGTTGTTCCGTGCGGGAATCGAAACCCCGTCACGTTGCACGGCAGCCACCGCACCAACCGTACCATCAAAAAGTCATTCAAACAAACAGCTGGTCATTCAGGCCTTTTATTGAATAGCTAATTAAGCTAGTTGACTATGACAGATTCATATACCTACCTACGCAGCTTAGCATTAAGACTTCAAACCAGTATATAATGACCTATTTAATGTGCGGATACAACATACAAAGAAAGCTCACTTTAAACTGGCTGATACATCGTAGACATGTAGTATTTGTACTTTTAATTTATACGTAAGATACTCATGAATTAATATCAATACAATAATGAAGACATTTTGGAATTTTGCCAATACGTGTATTGTTTATGAAAATAATATGCATCGCAACTATATAGTCGTTCATAAAAGTACGCTGGCGTTGCCATAGCAACCGATATGGCAACACATTACCAACTGTCTAGCAAAAAATGCTTTTGGCTATAGGTAGTAATTAGGAGACCGGGTATAAATATTTAGTTGGTGTACAAATCCAGCCTCATTTATATAAAGTCGTAGTCGAGTTCTCGACCAATAGATCAGATGCAATCACATTTTGAGTTTACCTCCTAATACTTAGATACTATTTTTTGACTAGGCAACCCCTTTAAAGGCGTCTTAATTTTGAAGGTTTATAAGATAATGTTGATTTCTACCTCAAACACACCGTAAAAAATGGGTACAATAAAAGCTGGGTACAATTGTACCCACCTTAACACTTTAATTTAAGATCCTTATGGATCTTAAATTAAATTACAGGCACAGTTTAACGGCCTTTTTCAGGCGTTGCAAAGAGGGCTATTACTAGCTTATAAAATAATATTAAATTACTTAATGAATATCACATTGCATAAAAGAGAAAAAGAAACAAAAAAGTTAAGAATTAGATAAATAAAAAAAAGTTGGTAGTTGAGTTAGTAGGTAGGTAGGTGTTTGTATGTATATGAGGTGGGCTTCAGCATTAATGTTGGTGTTCTATTTTCTATTTTCCTTCGAAGAATTCTTTGGTTGAGTAGAAACATTTTTGTATTAAGAACTTTTTTAATTTCCTCTCAAATATTATTTCTTTACTTTCGTTTTGTAGGTCTTTCGGTAATCTATTGAATATTTTGACTGTCACACCGTGTGTCACACACACGGCGAAACACAACGCTGTGGTTGTTTCACGGCGGTTTTCTGTGAGGCCGCGGCCGCCGTATCACTTCGGTCGAGCCGACCCATTCGCTTGGTTCTCCCACACTTAGCTTGGTTCTCCCACACTTAACTGTGGTTCAGGAATCCCTAAAACATGTATCCACTGAATACTTACTTAGTCTATGCTTAGTTCCAGCCAGGGTTTCGGCTGCAATCTCAATAATGTACCTCGGCCCCGGCCTGTAGTAAGAGAAGGATGGGATGGTTTTTAGTCAGAACGACTTTGACGCTCCTTTTCGCTCAAAATAGAAAAAAAGTTCGATTCCTGTTAAAACATCGCGATGTCTACATATTTCATTTTTAGTACTAGGTACCTATTTATTTAGATTTTCCTATGTGACCGTAAGGAGGTAGTTTATAATAATATAGAAATGTATCTGCAAATACATACCTATACATACTTATAGACATCAGAAGTTGTCGCATGCGCTTAGTAGTATGTAAAATGTATTCTGCAATAGAAATGCAAATAATTCCTTGTTGTCTTGTAACTAACGCATTCATATGACCAGATACCTAAGCTCTAGAAAGAATAGAGTAACTGCAATTTGAATAATTAAATAATTTTCCGTCGTAATTTTAACATTTTGTCCCTGAATGACTGCGTTATGTACCTAGGTACCTACTTGCCTATTACGCGGGCAAATGTTCACAGTCGAATATAGGTCAATGTCGTTCTACCTACTTAACGTAAATTAAACGTAAACTAAAACATCAGTTCAAAGTCCCCTGACGCTCGTTTATGCAAAAATACGTGATTTCTATTTCGAAGTAAATAAACATGTTATTGTGTAATTATTACGTAGGTGAGTGGGCGTCAGAGATCGCTCCAAGGTTATTTGAGAATGGCGGGAAACTGCGCTAAAGCTTGTTGCTTTACAATATGTATCAGTAACATCGATAAATACACATCAATTTAGTTCTAGAATGTTATTTTAGACCTAGACGTGCTGTCTAGGTCGTCCTAGGAACAGTGATTCAGGGACGCGTATACCACGACGTAAATAATACATTTTTAAACAAGTCGATATTTAATTTTTATTATACAACACTCCTTTTATTCTATCTTTCTACAGACAATACCGTCAACACGCGCCATGGATGCTGAAAAAAAAACCAATTCGTGTTGGACACATCATCTACCCAATTATCAATAACAAGTCCGACAGACAGAGACCAAAGTATATAGTTTTTGCGATACAAAAAGAGATAGCAAGTAAACTGTTGGTAAGAGAGAGATGGAGTGTTCCAGTTCACGTATGTTAGAAAGAGATACCCATAAAACAGAGCTCACAATATTATTTCTTCTGTCATGGTTGGTACGCATGCGTCATTCGATTATACCAGGGCTGAATTTTAAATGCGGATAAATTAGTACGTCGTTGCACCTCGGACTGTTTGTTTACAAAGACAACGAATCGTTTTTGAAGAGAACAAGAGCATTCAAATTTTTGGTGATTTATACAGAACAAAAGATACGTTTTGTAACTTGATCAAAGGCAACAAATTATACATATTTCGTTGTAGAATCAATCAATGAACTTAGAAATCAATTAATTTGCAACATATAACGGTGTTTCTGTATTTATAGGAATTAAATACGAAGTGTTAACTGTTTTTATTGGAAAAACAAACCGTTCTAGTTCGGTCCTGGCAAAATACAATCAGCTGTTTGTAATGACAGTTCCTCTGACAAATACAAAATGGTTGAAAACTAAAGTTGGCAAACAAAGAAAAGGCAGCGTAATAGCGAATTTTAGCGTTAAAAACGTTTTTTTAAAGTGAAAGTTAGTTAGAATATATTGTGTTTAGTGTTTTGTGCACGATGTTGGATTTGGAAATCGTCCCTGAACGCTCTCTGGGCTGTGATGCCTGGGAATTCGTTCTAGGTAAGGATCGCGTATGTTTATTTCTTACGTCAAGAATTTGCGCTTTATTTCTACGGGACGTGTCTTACGCAATGTTGTTTTTAACAAATATTTATGAAAACTAATGAATTGAGTTCAATCTGGAATAGGCACAGTAATTGTTTTACCACCGTCTAACATTGATTTTTTTTGTAGAAGTGTCACGAGCAGCCTTTGTTTCGCTGCTCTGTGCTATGTTTATTTTTTTTATTGCTAGTCTTGACCGTGAAATTAGTAGATTGCGTTGTTTTCGTGTTTGTTATGAGAATATGTATGATACCTATTTAAATTTCGACTTAATTTCGATGTTTGTTTACAACTGGCTGACTCAGAGTGCTTTTATATTGCCATTACCCGTTATTGAGAAATAATGATGCAATTTTTTAAATGTAAATATTTTGGCAATGATCATTATCTTCTGGAGTTAGATTAGGAAGTGTTTTGTTTTTATCTTAAGCTGTAGGAGTATTGTCCTTGGCTTTATAATTAAAACAGAACTATTCTTAAAAATAGTGTTGTACCTCCTTTCTCTTTTAATTCATTCTTTACAATGTAGTAATAATATAATACTTACATATACACATCTAAGAATTGATAAAACATTGTGTCCTTACATTTTCATACACTTTAAAACCTCCTTGTACTTTTTACTTACCAAAAATGTTCATTATGCATATATAAATCATTTAGATACAAATAATGTAGTTAAAAAAATGCATATACCCTACCCTCTTTAACAAGTCACTTAACCGTATTGTAGAGACCAAATAAAACTAAAATATTAATTAAAATGACATTAATTAATAATTAACTTCAACATTTTGATAACGTAACCTGGTTTCCTTAAACAGATCATGCCATATTTGACATTGTCCCCTTTGTATTCAGAATCAGTTTTTGTTTTGTAAAATTAATTCCTATGTGTTTGATAAAACCATATAATTATATTCTTAATTACTATTTCATTACAAAATTTTAGTTTCTTGTTTTTTAGTTGAATTATAAGGCTTTCATTTTATACAATAGAATTCATTTGAAAAATACATGCCTGTCAAACATCATATAGAAACAGATGGCACTAGTTGAATGTAAAATACTTTATTTCAGTTAACTATAATGTCTTTATTTTGCATGAATTTAAAGCTCACAAAACCTTCTACCTTTTATAATAATTAACATTTAATTTGGATGTGTTATAACTATCAATTTTATTGTTACTAGTGCTTGCTCCTACTTCATACAGATATCTACAAAAATTCAGGTTGCTATTTCTAAAATTCTTATTCTCTTGTGTCTCTTATATCAATAAGAGACTGGTGTAATCTTTAGGTTTAAATTTTATACATAAGTTGATGTTTCGGGTTCGGGTGTGATGTGTTTGGGTATTTTTTTTAATACACTAACACAGGACTAAGACTACAAAATTAATTATTTAAACTCGAAACACAACCCAGCCTTACATCACGGGAATCCTCATGTAGGGTTCAGGGCTTCATTCCACTTTTGTAAAATTATTTGCATGTTTGTAAATACAACCGTAAAACAGGAAAGAATCATAGAGCAGACTATATTTTTTTATTAAAAAAAGATAATAAATCGGTCAGTGAGGTCAGTCAAATCCTTAGAGATGGGCTCCAGACCTTGCATTGTTGAAAATTTTGTTTAATTGTGTGTGTATGATTCACGAATGTAAAAGCGTCACGAGTATGGATCTGTTAAAAGTAAAAAAACATTGACTATTTCCACATTTATCCTGACTTCCACAGCAATCAACATTCTATCAGCATTCAATTAGTAATCAACATACACTGGCTGGATGATGCGGGTCATCACCTAGCCAGTGTAATTATAATTTTCAGTCTCAAAGAATGTTGGTTGCTGTAGATGCGAATGTTGTAGCAAGTTCATTAATCTACTGAGCCCCTGGTCAGAACCAGGAGAAGGAACAGGGTGTATTTTAGTCAGTAATCAAGAGTATGACCTCCTTCTCGCCCCACACGGAGTAGGCAACATCATTAAAAAATTTCCACTTTTCATTTTCTAAGGGTCTAATGAGTATGTGGGTAAAGTTTTTGGCGCTATTCTCTCTTTGTTATTTCAAGCATCATTTTCTCGCTATTTAGTTCTTAAAAGATTTAGGTAGTGTTGCATATCTTAAAAATATAATTTCTAATTTTTATTACTTGTGATATGTGTTTAATGTAATTGAATCTGTGTCTACTGATAACAAAAGAGAAAGGCAAGCACAAAATAGTATATATTTAATAAAAAATCTTAAAAAAATACTGTAAAACATGTTCAGTTAAATAAAATTATAACAAAGAAACAATGTCATTATCCCCACACTGGTTAACAAACTTATATTTGCAGTTAAATAGAACACGTTTTACATATAAATGTGTTGTTATAAAAATATAGTAACGGTAAATGCAAGTTTGTTTACGGTAGTGTTTGTTATCAAGCACTATTTCTTGTTATTGCGTCATTATTATGAATATTTGCTATTTGTTTACCAATTTTTTTCAGTCGAAATTGATATGTGTTTACAGATAATAGGGTATTAATTTAATTATTATTGTTTTTGATGAAAAAAGGTTGTATATTTGTAAAATTCTATAATTGCCACATAAACAAAGTCTTTATTATACTTATATTAATAGCCTTGTAATAGAATCTGAGTCTGATTTAGAGTCTGTGCAATAGGCACTGCTAATACTAAGTTATCGTTACTAACCATCGAAAAGTTCCTTTGTAATTGTGCACCTCTGCTTATGCCTTTTAAAATTTTAAGGCGTAACATTATATTATATTATATGTAGGATACATACATTAACGTTTAATCCAATGATTAGTCAATCCAAATGATTGACACAACAATAAATTAATTAAACCATAGACAAGACCATTATTAGATTGTTTACAAATATTGCAATTTATATTTGATAAGGACTGTGCAAGATTATGATACAAACCTTTTTAATTAACTGTTAAATGATAACTTCAGTAACAGCGTAACAAAGAACTCGAGTGTAGACTTTTATTGACACATTTTGGCCGTTTTTGTGACTAGCTTTTGCCCGCGACTCCGTTCGCGTGGTATTGTGACTTCCTGCAGAATTTTGGTATAAAAACTATTCTATGTCCTCGATATTTGATACAGACATAGTTTGGAACTCGAGAAAGGACATAGGATAGTTTTTAAACCAAAAATCTGCATTAAGCCACTATTCCACGCGAACCGAGTCGCGGGCAAAAGCTTGTATACAATAAATATAAAATCTTATGAGCACTAGCATCATGGCGAAGCTTGGGTCGACCGTAATTCCCTAATTAAGAATTGGTCTTTATAAAAACAATACTATTGTACGAATTAGTTTTTGGCAAAGTTCCAAAATTGTCTCATTTATGTCCAAGCCCAAGAGCTCTGGATAAAGTGTCGATAGCGTGATGGAATTTCCGACAGCAAATAGCCCATGATCTAATATTGTTGTTAGGAAAAAAACAGCATACACAAATAGATAAGTATGTCATTATAAAACTTGCAATCATTTATTGCTCGACTTACACTACGATGGTTTTGGTTCTGACCCGATACGCTAAGAATGGGTTGACTTTCAGAAGACTGACCCCCGGTTTCCGAAAGGCCGATCAATGTTGAAATCAATTTAATCTCTTGTCAAGTCATCTGATTGGTTGACTGAATTATCAACAACCAATCAGATGACCTGACAAGAGATTTAACAGGAGATTAGTTAATTTTAGCGTTGACAAGCCTTTCAGAAACCGGGTGTAAATTGTCAATAATGCCAGTAATATGAAGTAAAAAGGGACATATTTAAAATCATCATTGCGTATCCGTCCACGGCGGAACATAAGCATAGTTTAGACATCTACAATAGTTCGTCAGTTTGACCAATTTTAAATTCTTGCCATTTAGGTAACTTCTAGTTACATCCAGACCGGGTCTTCAATCAAACTATACACTGGTGAAATTGCTCGAGAGTATAGTAGCTAGTGTTGCATATTTAATGAAAATCCTACATTCGTCTTGAAAATCTGATACAAACATATAAAAAACTATGATTACCCATTGCATAACTTAGTTCATACGTACACACGTACACGCTACTAATTAACTATGATATCATAATTATGATGACGGATGACGGATACAAAGTGCTTAATGATACTTAGTGCCTTTCGAAGAACTTGATAATTGAATTGCTAATAGATTGCCTCTATAATTTCTTGCTAGTTCTTTTCCATATGAATCTAACTTCACTTTGAATAAAGTTGCTAACTTCACTTAGTGACTGATCGACGAATTATTTTTGGTTATTCAAAATCCCTGTATCGTAGATGTATAGGGATACTTTTTTAAATTTCCAATTTCTTTCATTAATGTGACCCACGCCTACCCATAAATAAGCAACCAAATATTCACTTGGCCTTGAAGACACCCAGGTTACCCCTTTGGGGAACTCAGATTTCGGCAAAGAATTCCAATCCTTAGCGGTTTTGATTATAAAACTAGAGACGAACCGCTTCGTGCGTACGGGTGGGGTGATTATAAATTAAAAAACAATTGAAGGACGTAAAAAATATACAACTTTACTTCTCTTAACTGCAGCTTGGTATCGTGGTAGCTTTTATATCCTCAGTCAGTTTCCATTCCGTCCCGTTGCCATAGACCTTTTCAAATAGAATCCTGCTAAGCCTTATCTTCAGATCTTCGTAGTCAACCACTACCAGCCACTTTATGACCAACGTCACTTCACATAAGGAGTTGCAGTGAGCAATTCTCTAAGAAATGTTATCATCATCATCACCCTATAAGTGCCCACTGCTGAGCAAAGGTCTCTTCTGACATGGGAAGCTTTGCGCATTAATCACGACTCTTGCTTAAGGCGGATTGACGATTTTAAACTTATAATTATTAAACTTATATTATTGTGAGTCCAGGTTTCCTCCCGATGCTTTTC